AATGTAGAAGTATATAGTGCAATTTTCAGTGAAAATAGGATACTAAAAAAATAATTAGAAGATTATTATTCCCAACATAATACTTTAGAAAAGAGAGTAAAAAGATTAGAGAGAGATGTAAAGTCCTTAGAGACTAAATTAGAAGATCTGGATGAATGTGTAGATAGGGAAACTCTGGTCAATATAATATATGAAATAGTACCCCTACTGATTGGTAAAAAAGATAAGGATTTTTCTTATTTGTCTGAGTTTTCTGAAGAATCTGATTCAGTTGATACATATGTAATAAGAGAGCGAAAGGCTGTTTTTTATAAGTAATGAAAGAAGAGATCCTAAAGAGATCAGGTACGACTGAAAAAGATTAAGATAAAGAAAACAGACATTTTTTGAGAGGACCCTAGAAATTTTTGATCAAAGATATTAAGTTTAATACATAAATAATTAAAATAGAAAGTGATCAAAAGCATTTGATATCTTTAACTAATATCCTATCCAAGTCTATTTTGTCTGAAACTAGTTCATCTGAATCAAGCTCATCTGAGAATAATTCATCATCAGAGATTAGTTCATCATCTGAGTCTAGTTTGTCATCTGGGAGTAATTCGTCTGAATCTAGTTCATCATTTAGAAGTAGTTAATCTGAATCTAGTTTGTCATTTGAGATTAATTCATTTGAGTCTAGTTCATCCAATTCTGATATTGATGAAATAATAAACATGATTAAGCATCAAAGAATTTGGAAGTGTCTAGCTTAAAGGAAAGATCAAAAGAAAAATGCATATAATAAAAATAAGGCTAACTAGCTATCTGATAAATGCTAGTCTAGAGTGATAATAGAGCTGGTAAAAGAATATTAGCTACAGAATGGTAGTATTCTACTGATCTAACTAATCTGAATCAATAATCAGCTCAAAAGATTTTTTATTAGGTTATAGTTTGTATAATAAAAAATATAGATTAGCTAATCTGTTCTAGGTACGGATACTAGCTGAATTTTCGTACAATTGAAATAATGGTAGTTATTTTCTAGTAAAATAAAACATTTCCACTTCCTATAAATAAATTTCTGTATTAACACACCTAAACCATTTTCTGCTAAAGGCACTAAAGGTAAGGAACTGTCAAAAGTTTTGAAGATACGCTCTTACATTTTTATTAGCTTCTTCTAATCCACTTATTTTCTAATCAGAATGACAATACTAAAAACATTCTGAATCATACTTATATCCTCTTCTAAATGTAAAAGCAAATGATATAATATTCTAAGTAACTTTTTCCCATATGTTTCTTCCTCAAGATTATGTATATTATTATATAATATAATAAGAATGGGGTGGCAATCCACATTAAGATCTTCCTATATATCTATTAATTTCCCACTAAATTAAATAATAGCTCAAACAAATCTTCAAGTATTTTTCCTTTTTTGCTTTGATTTAATGCTGTTTGATTTCTACTCTCAATAGGTCTCTTTCCCAGGTTTAAAAACATACTAAGTTTTTTCTGAATAGCTATTATATCTTTCTTCTTATACAAAAACACTTTATATAATTGAGCTTCGCTTTTATCAGAACTAATATTAGTATTACTTTTCATGATTGTATTTATCTCTGGTTAACATACATTTAATTTAGAGTCTAGAATAGTACTCATCAGCCTGAAGTAGTGATCGTCAGCTCAGAAGATTTTGCTGGATCACAATGCATATACTCATGTGTGACAAAATAGGCAGATCATATAATAGATCTATGTGACATAATTTTCGCATATACAAAAAAAGAAGCTATGCATATTAACCAGTACTTTATTTTTTTATTAAATATAATTGATCTATTAGCAAAATGTCAGACGACAAGACAGATGAAAACTATAATGAATTTATCAAAGAATATGGGGAAAGGTATGAATGAGATAATAAAGGAATTTCCAAATTTACACTAGAGTGAAAAGACTGTGAAGATCTTTTTTGTGAAATCAAAATCTATTAGAAGACAAAGGCAATTAAGCATTGGAGAGAAAAAATACTTAAGAAATTTGTATATAGTCTGCTCAGTATAAGAAATCTACCATTATTATTCCATGTATTCATATAATCTAATGCTTTTTACCTATAAATTTTAAGCCTAATAGAATTACCATATAGTGCTAAGGAACTTTAATAGAAAATATGGTCAGATAGTATAGATACAGATGAGATTAAGGTAAAAAATAATGCAGATGAGGTTGATAAGTTCTGATATAAATCATTATTTCAAGGTGAAGACTTAATAGCAGATTATTATTCAAAGATAAAGAGATGTAACAATGTTATCAAGTTCTATAAAAATCTTCTTAGAGAAGTATTCAATAAAGAATTGTTATAAAGGTATATTGCAAAATTTGGATGTTATTATGATCACGAATTTGATTCTGATAAAATGGTAAAAATACTTATTCAAGCTAAAAAGAAAAATGTGTCTGATTTTATTACTGCATTTAGTGATTATCTTAGTTAGGCTAGCAATATTCAGATTTCGATCCAATTTGAATTCTTTAATAATAATTTTATTTCTGCTTTTCTTAATCTGAAATTAATGAGACCTCTATGGCAGAGTGGTACTCTACTAATCTAACTAGTCCAGAGTAGTGATTGTCAGCTCAGAATATTTTTTTGCTAAGCCATATGTAGTACTCCTATGTGACAAAAATATGCAGATCACTTAGATAGGTTTATGCAATATATTGATTTCACATATAACAAAAAGAAAATATACATGCTAACTAGTATCTTTATTTTTTTCCTGAACAAATATGAGAAAAATGTGAAAGAGCGTCTAGTTGCAACATAAATTCTATCATAAAAATAAGTACTAATAGCAAAAGCATATGTTATGAAAGGTTGAGGGACTCACAATTTTGAGATCGCTAGGCATAAAACTAACTATGATCTCTCTGGTAGATCTACATGTAAAAAGATTTGAAAATTCTATTTACATGTGCTTTCATAGAACTCTTGCATTAGATGACAATACTAATAATATCTCATACCTCCTTAACTTTATCCTAGCAAGATATAAAGCATGTAGGAATATGTGGAAGTTCAGCCAACATTCCTGCAAAATTTTTTTAGAAAAAATAACACAAAATAAGGTATGTGCTGTATATGTCAGATGTATAGAAATGAGTTTTCCTCACTATAGTTTCTTGTATTTATAAAATGAAAATAACTCATAGGAGTATTGTCAATCTTAAATGTTGCATCTAGGATAGTAAGAATGAGATAACTTACATAATTTCATCTTACAAGAAAGATAAAGTTGCTATTTTCAAATTTGCTATTAAAACTCTATTAGCAAATCAAGATTACCAAGCTCTTTCCCTTAACTTCATTCTATACGTGAACGATTCTAAGGAAAATAAACTCATAAAATCAGGAGAAGAAATCTCTAAGTATTTTGATAAACCCTTGTTCAGGATCAAATTCATATTTTCGTAAAACTTAGGGATATTAGTATTTTTTTCTACTTGTATCATATAACAATAGTTACAATTTTTATGTATTATAGGCAAGCCTCTGGCAACATTTTTTTATTTCTTAAATAAAGTATTATTATTGTACTATACATGAGAAATGTGTCACATATAATAAAATATCAGGACTATAAATCTATCTGAACCAATCTAGCCTATATAAAAAATGTTAGGTAATAAGTGAGAAGAGTCTTCATAGTATAGTGATTAGGTGTTTATTGCATTTATGATATAATATGGCTGATTGTACAGCAAGTTTCTCTTATAAAACATAATAATTTCTTACATATAGTCTGCCTCAGTATTTTTTTCACAAATAAAATTCTTTTACTCTTATCCTCACATACTGCACTTTGAACCAATAATATTTCACAAAAATACTATATAAGCTAAAAATATGTCTATCACTTTATTATGTTTCGTCAAAGAAAATAAGACCACAAACGTTTTCTCTGTTAAAATAAGTAGAAATAAGCCTGTTAGTGAATTAAAGAAAGCTATTAAGGTGAAAAAATAAAATGACTTTACTGATATAGATGTAGATAAGCTCAAGCTATAGAAGGAGATGATCTCTGGTGATCATATCGATCCTATAAGCAATCTTTCACTTGAGAACAGTGAAGAACTGTTAGCAATAAAAAAGATTTTGAAATATTTTCAGACTCACCTCTCAAAGAACATATTCATGTCTTAGTCTTTCTGCTAGAGTCCACCGCCACTTCAAGCTAAGAGCAGGAATTACTCAACCAAGTTACTTCGTTGCAGGCATTACTTAACAAGTTCACACATGGTATGACTAAATAATGAGAAAGGTCAGGAGGTTTTATAATATTTTTTCTAATCTTCTTCATATTATAGACTTCAACATCATTGTTTATCTGAAACAGAAGCTAAATAAGTGAACTGCAAATATCAAACATGTAACTCAGAGAATATATACATAAGATGTATCAACCACCTGCACTCGAAAATAGTGATGCTGAACTTAACTTCATAAATGATAAAAACAAATATTTACCTCAGAACGATCAAGATTTTTGTGAAATTCTCTGCATATTCATATTAGATAAAAAACTTAAGTTTACTGTATTTATCGAGACGTCATCAAAACCTTTCTCAGATTGGTCATTTCCAAAAGTGTGCTAGCTTTATGGTATTAGCAATGATTTGAATTCTGATATTGACGTGTTCTCTTCCTTTTCATGTAGTTCTGCAGACCTAAATAGTGATAAGTTTAAAGTCATAATTAAGCATCTAATAGCGAAAATAAAATTTTATTAAGATGTTACTTCTCTTAACAAGGCAAATGAGACAACAAAAGTATTTATTCTTACTGCTATCTCGCTTCTAAGGTCTCGCTTTATAAAGATAATTTCAAGCTTATACCAGAAAAACTTATTGAGAGTTGAAATGGATAAGAGAACCTAGATTATGCAGTAGAGTACCATTTGACCAGTAGAGTTCTTGGTGTAATTGAAGTTAAAAAGGAAGATTTTATAAAAGAATTCGCTCAGGCGTCTGTGTAGATAGAGTCAACCTTGTCACGTAAACGCAAGGCAGATAAAATTGATAATAAACAGAATGTAGATAGGGTATTTGGAATTGTTACTGATGCATCTGAATGGTATTTTATGAAATGCTTGCTGGATAATGAGGGAAAGCCATTGTTTAAACTATTAGAACCGGTGACCATTATGTACAAAGATGAGAATTTGCAAGCTAAAGTAGAAAAGGTCCTCAGGCATATTGTATAGTTATTGAAGAAGACACAGAAGCCAGTGGAAGCTTCACAAGTGGTGTAAAAAGGGTAAAGTCATTGAGCAACATCGCAGGAAAATTGAATTAGAATTTAGGAACAGATAGGCTTAGGATAGAAATGTAGAACTTCATCATATATTGCGGGCTACATCTCGAACTTTTTTTATCTTATATAAATAAAAAAAATTTGAATTTGCAGGTATATATGATAAGCAAAAAATATATAGTCATAGAACTGCCATTCCAAGACTATAAATAATTTATTTATATTAAAGCTTTGAACAGTTCAGTTTAGTTCAGATTAGATGCTAATCTGTATCCAAATTGAAAATTCAGTTCAGTTCAGTTCAGATTATTAATCTTAAAAATGCCAATCTGAATCTGAACTGAACTGCAGACCGGTAAAAATCTGAACTGAACTGAAATTTTCAGATTAATCTGAAATTACAGTTCGATTATATAAGGAATCCACAATTTATATGAGAAACTCTAGGAGAATCGCAAAAAATCGTGAATTTCTCTTTGAGGTTTGCAAAATTCAAAGAGAAATCGCAAAAAATTGTGATTCTTCAAGGTTTTCGCGAAATTTGAAGAGAAACTGCAAAAAATTGCGATTCTCTAAGAGTTTCGCTAAATTTTGTGATCCTCTTAGAGAATTCGTAAATTTTGCGATCTTCTAAGAGTTTCACATATAATTGAACAGAACTTTCAGATTAATCTGAAATTATCAGTTCAGTTCAAATTTTTTTTGGTTCAGATTAGAATTATAATCTGAAAAAAATCTGAACTGAACTGAAAATTTTCAAATCGATTTTTATGCAATCTGAAACTGATCTGAACTGAACTGATCTGAAAAATTTTCAGATTAATCTGAACCGTTCAGAACTTTAATTTATATCGTAATCATGTCTTAGCAAAATACTCACGTTAGAGCCAATATATGTTCTGATCCTAAAACACTCGTTTTGGTAAATACTTTATATAAAGAATTTGGCCTATACTTTGAAGGAACTAAATTTGGATGATAAAGGAATTTCACGAGTATGTCATTCCTCTAAGCTTTCGTCTCTTCATGCTCCTAAGTTATCTCTATCAATGTAGATAGGTTACTGTAATTCATTTTCATTAGGTTTTGAAGCAAAGATTGTTTATTTTTTTCGAGGGTAAATAAACTCATCCCACCCTTAATAGTAGAGTCCACAGTAATAGAAAGTTTTTATAAATATCTGATTTACTTGCTAAGATAGATGAGGGCGAAATTAAGGTTGAATAGTAGAAGTCGGCTAAAGAATCCAGTTCAAATTCATCGACACATATAGTCCCAATATCTTCTAAATAATCTGAAAGTCTATTAGCATATCTGTAACCTTCACAAATCAACTTCTGAAATAGCTTTCCATTCGAGCTGATCCATCGACCAGTTAGTAAATTAAGTACTGTTCTATGTATGTTTGATTCTTGCATATGGATTGTTGAAATTAGCATTTATGAAAGTAATAATAGATGATTAGTACTTATGAAAATGGTATGTTTAATTACTCATTTCCTCTCATATTTTTCTTTTTATAATATATGTATGCTCTTTCCTTACCTTGTTCACATTGGACACAAAACTGAATGCTTAATTTAGTGTCTCGTTTACATCCTTTACATGGTTGTGGAATTAATACACCCTTTCGTATTTTGAATGTGTGGAATATACAATATTGATCTTGTGCTGATTTTTTACAGAAATAGGTCTTTCTAACTAACAACCAATTACAAGATATTTCTTTCCTCTGTTCATTATTTATACTCATTTTTATAATTAAAATTTGTAATATTGCATTTTATTTATTTTGAATGCTTATATAAAATATATTAGTTTTATATAGATCATGTCATCTGAGCTTAAATCATTGAAACAGCATATCACTGAACTTGAGGCTGAGAATGTTAAGATCATAGCTGATTATGAGATTAAGATTACTATGTTTAAGAAGGAGAATGTTAAGATTTCTGAACTTAAAAAGGAGAATTTTGATCTTAGAATGAAGTTTACTAACTTTGATACTGAGAGAGCTAAACTTAAACATAGGATTGCTGAAGCTCTAGAATTGATTGAGAAAGAGAAAATGAGACGTATTGTTAAGAATACCAAACTCAAGGCTAGAATTAAGAAGTTGGAATTTGAGTTTAAAGATAGACTCACAAAAGTGGAGCAGAAGCAAACACTAAATGATAATACCCCTAATGATAATACTTCTAACAAAAACTCATCTAACTTTGCTTTAGCGCCTTCAGTCAATTCAGGTGTATCCATCATGAAAAACTGTTAGAGGAGAAAGAGATGAATAGTTTCTTGCTTGAAGCTCATAAGAAAATCATTAGTAGTGAAATAAAGCAATGCAATAAGAAAAAGAAACTTAGCAATGCAGGATAAGCATCTCTTAACTAAGATCAAGAATCTAACACTGGGTGCTTCATTTCTGAAAAGATACCAGTAGTATTGAATCCTGTGACTAAAATTTCAGCTGGGGCCTCTGGCCAAAATAGCTATAGGAAGAAAGATGCAGAAAACATTGTATAATTGATAACTAACAGTATTAAAGATGATGCCTAATTGAACGACAAAACTATTCCTTGTAATGTGATTTCAATTGAGAGTTTTAACCAAAATTCATCTACAGATTCATTGCTTACTCTAGCACAATTATTCGATAAAACGGATGATGCTGAATATGGTGCAATTCGTGCTAATCAAGAAGAGATTTTACGCTAGTATTATTATGAAAAGGAATTTTTAACCCAGGTTACTGTGATTGTACAAGATGGAAAAGGAAAAATAGGTAAAAAAAAGGCAAAGAGAATAATCTATGATAAAATGTTGAAACATCTATCCATATTGCGAAAGTAACAATCTGAAGATATAGGATTACGTCTTTCAGAAATCTCCCATAAAAACTTACAAAGAAAAACTCAGAAAACTGTAAAGATATATAAAATATTTGAAAAGGTAGGCGTAGAGAATATTAAATATATTACTACATATAATGCGAACTTTATTTCTAAATTGACTAATGATAAAGTTCAAGATATCATAGAAGCCTCAAAAAGACTGGATAATTTATCCAAGCATAATGATAACGATAACACTGATGTGAAAAAAGTACTAACCAATATGCTTAAGATTTCAGCCAGAGGCTCCAATTAAAATCATGTAATCAAAAATCCTGAAACCAGAGAAAGAATTATAAATGCTCCATCGGTTTTGAAATCAACTAAGATTAATATATCGGCAAATGTATTATCTGCACCTCAATCTAAGCCTGATCATTCCTATTTTCACAATAAAATATTGGATCAATATCCTAATCTATATAGAGAATATAGTATTGAAAATTTCGACTATTATAAGATTATTAATGAGACAACATGTGGGATTATATCTGCCTATTATGCAAATTAGACCATGATGATAAAGAAATAAAAGGTAGGTATAAAGCAGGATCGATCTTTATTAAATGTGAACAGCGTGAAATTAAGATAGTTGCATAATCTCATTGCTTTATAATAGTCTGGGAATTTTAATCTTTTTTTTTCAAATGAATAGGTCTATATGAGAAAAAGTGATTTAAATTGTTTGCAGACATATAAAAAGGAAAATGACTGAATCTAATAAAATACTAACTCTGAATATCTAAACTGGCATGCCAAATTAAGTGGGTTACCAAGCGTTTTGACGAATAAGATTCGTTCCAAATTATATAAAAGATATAAAAAACAAATTGGAAATGAGCCATAGCAATTATCAGAAGTGCATGCATTGGAAGCCGGTTTTCTCATAAATTCGAAGCTAGAAACAAAGTATTCTATTTATCTTCTTCTGAGCAATGTGAAGAAAAAGGGCCTATCACCTTCGAAGCCAAACCCGATCTAGAATTAATTATCAAATCCGTCTTAGAGCACTTCTCATACTTGAAATTCAGAAATAGTTTCAGAGGGATTGATAATTATGATTTTACATCACCTCAACCGTGGAGCTCACCATGCCCTATTTGTGATGGAAAACATGGGAATTATGGATTACATGGCTCATGGTACTGCAAAAATGGGAATCAGTTCCCTTATGATCCTGAATTAGCGAAATTGTATTCCCAAGATAAGTTAGAATATTGTCTTACCTGCAACACTTCAAGCAATAAATTCAAATTCGCGATCGTAGCTACATGATGGCATTGTTGTATAGTAAAAGATATTATTTCGCAGTATGAACAAAAATATGTATTTTTTTATTTACAATCAATAAAGCTAAGGCACATTAAACGCAATATATTTATATGTCAATATCTAGTATGTGTTAAGAAGTATGAGATTGTGTTTGTATGCTAATATTTCTCGATCCGGATCCAGACCTGAAAAATTTCGATAAATGCGTAGTATCGTTAGGATAAATCACCATGTATTACAAGAAAAAGTCATTGTACCATATAATTTATTCTCGAAGTTCCCCGCATATACTCAAGCTTTTGCATGTATTAATAATAAAAAGACCCCTTGTTGATCCAGAAACATAATCTCAGTGTCTATTATGATTTTAAGGAGTATCTGTTGATCTGATTTTCGTGATGAATCATAATAACGTAATTTCACCCAAGATTTATTCCAAAAATCGATCCTTAAACCCACTACAGATCATATAAAAAGGTGAGGCCTTATTTAGTGAATCCTTTTATCCGCCTTGTGCAAGTAAAGCAAATAGAAATCAAAAGAAATATTCAAACTTACCACTATTAATATCAACAATATCAACAATCAATCAAACGAGTATATTCCGCAAAGTAATAGCGAAGTTAGTTTGTTTGATTTCTTGACTTGATTCTAGAAAATCGCCATCACGATGCTAATCATTTTTCCCAGCTCTATAGATGCTCATAGATAAAGCGGACACATTACCTTTCTTGATTCTTTCTGCACATTTGATATTCGTCGAGAAAATCGTGATCATTGTCATGTGTCTAATCAGCGCAGTATTAATTTCTATCAGATTTTCATCACATGCTGAGATACAGTACGCAGTATATCGAATAAAATTTTCAGGCAATGGCATCCGAATTCTTGATGCTTGGCGCAATATTGTTCTAGCGATAAAAAAATCGAAACACAACGCATTAAATAACAAAATTCTTGAATATGAGGAAGAATGGAATGTTGTGAAAATGAAGTATAATGGTAAGTGTAAATCGGAAGTCTCACCTTGTTTTATTTCTCCATTGCTAATCTCAGAATTCTTCATACAGGTTCGAAATTATTTCATCTTGGGGAAATTCTCTTGCAGGAAATAATCTATTACATAGTCTGTGTGAGTGGGAGTGATGTAGATAGACGAAAATTCTGTAGATATAAGTGGTGTAATTTATTTCAGAATTCTAGTGTAAAGAAAGATTATGGGGTCGTAGTTAGCTATAGTGATAGGTTATATAGATATTTTTCAAAAATATGAGAGCAAAGAAATAACTTGATGCTGGGACTCGCATTAAATGGCCTAGGATCCGCGTACTCCCTCCCTCTTTGATAGCATCATATAATATTTCGTTTGCAATCCTCATTCAAAAGTATTACGCATGTATCTGAAAAATTAATAAAGTTTGCCAACAATTCGGACCATACACTACATGTTATCAAATCAGCCTGTTACCGGTACTCGTGATAATTTTTACAATACGTAATACGTGACACAAACGCTTGATATCACATGATCGATTTATTGTGGATGGATTAGCCGTGTACCATTATCGTGTACTTGTCTTTGAAATAAATCATTATCGTGTATTAGTCATGAATCACGAATATTTTGAACGAAAGCCTGAAGGATGGAATATTGTTGACTTCCTAAACCGGTGCGGTATAGAACCGTATGACGCAAAGATAGACAGATATATAAAAAGTCTCAAAGCCATCGCTGACGAGCAAGGAGAGGGCGAGAGGGCTGAAAAGGCGAATTTGCTTTTAGACGAATTTAAAAGGCAAGTAAAATTTCTTTTAAGCGTGGCGTGAACGAGAGCCTGCTTGGTTGTCGTTCATTCAAGGCTGTTTGCTGAGCCACGAAACTGGTGCTGGCGCACAGGTGACCTGCTTGGTTATCTGATGCCAAAGGCTGTTTGCTGATCCAGCACTGGACCCACTGGGGCACAGGTAGCCTGCTCGGTTGGCTGATGTTCCGGTGGGATAGGAAATATTAGTTGAGAATTATTAATAATTTCCAAAATTTATTGCTAGGGTCCTGACCGTAAAAAAGCAAGTGAATGGGAGAAAAAGCGCTCGCAGAGACAGGTTAACATTCACCAACCAAATCTAACCGCGGGGACTGTAGTAAACGGAGGAACAGTTGAAAATATAAACGGTGAAGTAAAACTTATGCCAAAGAAAAGAGTTCATAATGAGGTACGGATGTGTAATTTATGAGAATTGTAGCCTGTTATAACTCTTTCTTTTTGTATTTAGTCCGATGACGATTTCCAACCTATGCTTATCCGACCAAAGCAGAAGAAACAGTCAAAAAAGGTCGGTATAAAGAATAAAGAATCGGTTGCCTCAGCTTCTAATAAGGTGTGTGTAAAATGCAACCTTATGATAAGGATTTGTTTGCGCGAATTCCTCTTAAAAATAGCAACTAATTTGCGTGATTCCTTTTAGGCTGATGATGATAAAGATTTGGATTATGTACCTGAGTCAACCGGTAGCACAACTGGTTCAAAAAAACGTAAGAAATCATCTAAAGGAGTAGAAGAGGTGAAGAATTTGCATTCTCTTCAGAGAAAATGATCAAATGTTAATTTTTTTGTAATATTTTAACGATCATTTTTTATTGTATCTATAGTCCGGAACTAAACATACATATGTCTTGGTATGGAATTTATATGAAGATTGGAAACAAATAGTTGTGGTATGTACATGTAGATTTATGTTTCATTAAAAGCATTTACGTAACATAACTAATAGATCTTAAATTCTGTACAGGAGTGGACCATTGATGATACGAACATAAGTGATGCATTTTTCCGCTTCAAACGTTTTGCTGAATCAAAAGCAAACAGACATGAATTGAAATTCTCAGAGCATCCCGGCGAAATTCTGTTAGTTGACACGTTATCTTTTTATGCAGTGTATATATATTAACGGTTAGGAATGTTAATAATAATGTATTGGATCATTATTAATGTCCAGCGCTCTAAATTCTATACTCCTTTTGGAGGAAAACTCTGTCCGTGTACAATTGAATATTTCATCAGCCATCCGCGCAAAGATTTTTGAGCAAATGAGGGCAATGTACCCGAAATACGATTTGCCGAAAGTGGTTGAAGATATGTCAAATCGATGTGCTCAAGTTGCTCGAAAACAGACCAGGGAGGCTCTAGAAGAAGAAATTGACAATGCTTATAGTGATTTAAGGACGAACTTGAGTCCATCCGATAAAAAATTGCTGAGGATCAGTCAGAATGTTTGGAATCACATGTGGGTGTATTTCTTAATTTGATATTTGATTACCGTATTTCTCAAGTTAATAAGATAATTCTAATTAGTGCAGAGAATTGGCGAACTAGTTTTGATAGTCCTCGAACAATAGAAGACACCCACGTACACCATTCAATACATCCTTTCTTACGTCCATTTTCCCCGATGGACCGGATAGGACAGTTGATTGGTAATTCTATATATCAGTATTAGTCATTCCTGCATTTAAATGCAGTATTAATGTTATATTTGCTTTCTTCATAGGGCAAACAAGTTGTCGTTCGTAAGCGCATCTAGGAAAACAAATGACAATGACCAAGGCGAAGGACATAAACCCGACTTCACAATCACAGTTAATAAAAGAAGTGGCAAATTTGAAGTTGTATTTGGCTTATTCAAATCGCCTTGCAAAAGTAGCTGTCATTTCGCAAATGTTGATTTAGTGGATTTAGGAGTGTTAATGAAAGACTCACTAGATAACATGTATAAAGAAAAACGTATTGAATTAGACATGGCTGTATTTGGAATTCACGCATTTGGTATGTAGCTTTCCAGATATATTTTTTCTGAGTGCTTTTTTTTATCTAATCAGTTTAGCATTCTGTTGGCAGGTTATAATGTCCGTGTATATGCTATGGATCTTTCGTATGGTGCTGTATACAGAATGTATTTGATGGGAGAATTTGAATTGCCAAAAAGTAATATTAGCCTGTGTTTGGTTGAAAACGCATTACATGAAGTAGAAAATTTGAAGGTAAATTTGATGGTCTTTTTGTATTATTGCGTTGCTAAATTATTAACGTTATGGTTTGCTAATTACAAATTTCAGAATTTCGTAGAAGAATATATTGAAAGGCTTCCATCCTATACCACTAATAATGACATTGTAAGAACCCCAACCGAAAAGATGAGGATGATCAGGAAAACGGTAGCAACTCCTCGCAAGGTATATTTTCATCATTTTTTGTGTATCCGCTCATTTTTGTTTGGTTCAGAAGTTTCTCATTATTTTTTTTATGCTATCATTTTAGGTTGAGTTGAAGTTAGGCGATGTGTAATTACAAATTATTTATCTGCTGTCTTTCGATTTTTTAATAGTAAATGTTTAAGTGACCGTTATGCAATTTACCCAATTAGGCTTTAAATATGTGCATATGACCATACTATAATAAGGCTTACATGGTGTGATGTATTTAGCATTGAAAATAAATTATACACTTCGTGCGCTATATTGTTTTTGGTATGCTGATCGTTACCAATGGTAACTGTTTTTGTCAAAATTTGCCAAACGAAAAAAATAAATGCACCGCATAGACCTATTCCCCGATATTTCTAACTAGATGAAATTGATTATGTAATTGCCAAAAATCTTAAAGCAGAAAGTTCGATAATGTATTGCGCCATGTGATTAATCCATTTTTCTGTGCAATTTTGACGAGCTTGGACAGTAAGCAAACTAGTTTACGCTTTTTAGAACAAATCTTTTCCACTATTCCCCAAAAACCAAAAGGATACAGTGTCCATCAGTATTTTCTTGTAGATCACGCTTCTATTGGTTGGAAGTGTGAAGGATCTTCATGGTTATCATCTGATATCACACTATTTCGAGGTTGAGCGTGGAGGATATTGAGTATGTAATAGCTAGTTTTAGAAGTGGGCCAGTGAAATTTACTGTGCCAAATTTTACTCATATGTTCACAGCTACCGAAATTTTTCCGGATTTCAGATAAGCCAAATTTTACTCAAGTGTGATCGCCTGTTCACGCTTGCCCGAAGTTTTAACATTACCTAGACATGTATGATTATCATTTCCACAAATAAAATCAATATATACGCTTATCAATTATTTTTGTATTCCTATAAATGCTAAAGTATATGAACTGCTTAATTTTTTTTTCTAAAAGGAATACACGTTCCTGCAGATCAAAGGCGAGATCTGATTGGCTGATCTGTAACTCATCTCGTGATTTGAGTAGTGGGGAAGGGTGCCGGGAACTGACCGGGAGCTAGGGTGAACCTGTGATACAATATACATCATGCATGTAAATATAAAATTAGCTTAGCCGAGAGATGATCCTATATAAATCCCAATCGAATAAAATGAATTTGTATTTACTAGTGTGTAGTCTCGCTAAATCGGCTACAGATCAATAAAATCGCTATAATTCATTAAAACTGCTTAACCAGCAAATCCGTATAAATTTGAAA